ACAAAAAGTAGTTTTATTTATTTTCGAGCATTACATTTAAGGCGGAAATAGGGGGAGTTAAGTAAAAAAAGAAAAATTGTAATAGTTTCCGGCAATTTTCTCGAAGGTTAAATTTAATAACATTCCCATTAATTATTTCCTGGGTTAAGCGATTTTATTATGGGGAAAAAAGTAGGGGAAAACTTGATTGATTGCCAGAGCATCATCACATCAAAGAAAAATAATTTATCCTAGAGCAATTAAATAAAATATTGAATTTACTTCAAAAGGCAATATTGCAGGAGAGTAAAAATGATTTTTAAAATTTTATTTAAAAATTTTAACGGATTGACCAAATAAAAATTAAAAAGTTTAAAATTTTCATTTAAGAAGGCAAACATTAAAATTCCCATTTAAAAGAAAAAAATCTTCTTAAAATATTTTTCATTTTCAGGGGATTTTCCTTTTGTTGTTTTAATTATAAAAAAAAAATTTGAAATTTTAAATTTTATTTTGGTAAAGGCTTTAAATTTTTTAAAACGTCCTTTAAAAATTTAAGAGGACAAGTAGATTATTTCAAAAACGGTCAAAAAAAAAAAATATAATTTTTCTAATAAAATTCTTTATAACCCTCTTCTTAATAACAAAATTTCTTACATAAACATTCCCCGGGTTTGAAATTTTTAAAAATTAATTTTTAATTTTCCCCCTAAGGCAAAATAAAAATTTTAAAATTCTTTTCAGAGAATAAAAAAACAAATTTTCATTTAAAAGTTAGGCTTTTGTTTATTGGCCTAATTTAATTTTTCCATGCTAAAAAGTAAATTGAACAAAAAGGGTATTTTTTTTAAATAAAAAACCAAAAAATTATTTTTAAAAATAACTTGCACATTTGAATTTTGAAAAAATTTTTAAGGAATCTTTTCAACCTAAGGGTTTTTCTATAAAAGAAGCTTTTGAACCAAATTTTAAAACGTTTTCGTAAAAACCCCATACCAACTTTTTAAAACAACTTTTTTTGTATCAATTTTGTTTTCTAAATTTGAGGAAAATTTACTTTTAAAATTTTATTTCAAAATTTTAAGGTTTTTTTCTTAATAAAAAATTTAAATTTAGTCAATTTTTTAAAATTTAGTTACTAGAAAATCTTGATTCCTTTTCCCCCATGGACCGGAATTTGAAAAATTTAAATTAAAAATTTTTTTGGTTTTAAATTTTAAAGTCCCCTTCTTAATTTTAGAAGAAAATTATTTTCTTAATATTGAAAATACAGTGAATTCTTCGACATTCTTTTTCTTGTATTCCTTGCAGTTTTTTTTCTTTTTTTTTTTAATGGGTAAGATATATAAAATAAACATACATTAATTTAAAAAAAGTGTGAATAATTAATTTATTTTAATTTATGATATTCATGAATTTAAAATTTGTTTAATGTGGTTTATAAAGTATATTAAAAGATGAAGCTCTATGTAACGAATTTTCCAAATTACGAACTTTTTTCCGGGATTTAGCAACTTTATTATATAGAGGTCTGACTGCATTTCCATTATACAAGGGTGCCCCGAATGCCGTGCACAAACTTGGAGGACCTTAAGAACATCCTGAGGCGCCATAATTATAAAGTAAAGCATGGGCGGAAACGTAACCCTAACGAGATAAAGAGACATGAAGACCGTAAGACCACAACATAGAATGTAGTGTAAAATGCTTTATTACGAAACGAAAAACAACAAGAACAACAACAAAAAAAAAAACAATAATAAATTTAAAAGTATGACATTAAAGCATCACAAAACTGTTTGAAATTGCTGCCATTGGGATATATGTACGCACGACACCTACGCGACATGGATTGGAGGACATGATAAAAATACTGGGCATTTCACGGATCGTGTCAGCATCGATATATATTCGTGCCACCAGGTCCACTTCAGAATTAACAGGCATGTTGTCAATCGTAGCTCTAAAACAGGGGTGTCCAACACGCGGCCCGCTAGTACGTAAATTGCTGCCCGCCGACTCTTTTTAAAAAAATTTAAATATTCCGTTTTTAAAGTTTTTTCATTTTGAAATTTATTTGAAGGGGAATATATATATATATATATATATAAATCTACAATGTATTTACCTGTTCTTGTTGTAAAATAAATTCTTTTTGATAATAGAAATTTTCCTTTTTAAATTTAAAAATAATTTATATTTTATCAAACAGTTAGATTTGATTTTACTATAGTAAATTACTTGTTTAATAAATTTTGAATTGTGCATTATACATTGCATCCTTTACTATGGATGGCCCATAATTCTCTGTATGTACGACTTTCATTTCTCCTCCTCTTTTTCTGTTTGGAGCACACAAAAAGCAAGAGGCAGTCAGATATGTTTCTTAAAGTTTAAAAAAAATATTCAGGATGGTTAAGATAAGGGCAATGTGTACTTAATCGTTTGCGAATGACAGCCCAATCAAATTTCAACAATGAGTAACGAAAGATCAATTCAAAGGAAACCGTAATTTCAAAGAAATGGCAACTGTAATATTTTCAACATTATTTGATAACTGCATTATTATATTATATAAAAATTATTATATTATATATGTCTGTATACATGAAAAATAATGAAAACAATAATAATAATTCATTCTGTTTTAAATTTTCAGTCCAATAAATGTTTTTTTGTTTCCAAATCTAAATAAAGGTACATATTTTTCTTTGCGGCCCACGAGATTATAATGTTTTCCGAAGTGGCCCGCAAGGTCATTTGAGTTGCATACTCCTACTCTAAATGATTAATGTTCCGCCAGGTTCTAAAGCACCCGAGCGAACGTTTGATGATTCGGATGCTGTCTCATTGAATATCTTTCCCCATACAACCGAACAGCAACACGTCCACTTCCGTTGACTAGGCCATAGGTGAAGTGGATATCCGCCAACTCGGCATTCGTATAACAATTCATGTTCATCACACCCTCTCTATGTCTCAAATGAGGAAACCACATGTGCCGACCTTGCGAGCTCACGTACAGCGCCACCTATTTCTTTATACCCATGATTTCCTATGAAACTATGGTTCTTCATGATGTTCTGTACCTCCTCTCTAAATTTGTACAAGGCATTCGGGGACATCATGTATATATATACATCAAAATAATATATATATATATTATATATATATGTTACTGTTCTTTTAAAAGAAAAGTTTTCTTTACAACAAAGGTAATGTATTTCAAAGATATCTATTATTAGGAGTTTGCTAGTAACCTTTTTATTAATTGGCCTTTTATAACTATATATTACTGTTTTGCTCGAACTGGAACCTAATTTTATATGATAATCAATTTGAAACGTCGTTTTAACAATATTTTCGAAATTGTCTAACATTCTTTTGTTTGTTTACTTTAATATTTTTTTTACATACGCTAAAGAAAAGCCAATGTTTGACTAATTTGATTTCATTGAGATAATAAAAGCAAAAATAACGCTCTCCCAGCCAAATTAAATGAATGATATTATTGATTTGTAATAAAAAAGGAGAGCCCCGAAAAAAAAATTGTTGTAACTATGTAGCAAGTTTCAGAGGTTTATTCTCGAAAGAGAGGGATTAAAAAAAAAAGGAAAAAAATGTGCTTCTAAAGCACTTTACTGAGTTCTTAAAGAGCAGATCTGGAATAAATCTTTAGATCCCGGAATTATCCGATAAGCTTCAGGAAAATCGGTAACCGGGAAAGCAACATAAAACAGCTGCGGTAGAGAAGTGATCAGAATTACGAGCTCATAGCCAATTTTATTTCTGTCAAGATGTGGTTTTAAATCTTGATATTTTTAAAAACTATCCTATAAATGGACGATGCAAGGTAAATTTCTTGAGCTTAAAGACCTTCAGCGACAAGTTGCTGACCTTCGCAGGGGTATTTATTTTATCCACTTACCTTAAGGTCCGTAGCTACATCGTGCATGCCTTAGACGACTGAGATGAAAGAATCACTATTCTTGTCAGTCGTTAAAAGTTTTTTTTTATTCTTGTTCTTTGTTGAGATTTGCTGAATGAGGTGCCGCTGCATACCCCCTTCCTACGGAAGAAAGCTGTTTTTCTTTGCTTGACTTTCTGAACAATATTGAGAGAAGGTTGTTTTTGAAGCCAATTACTGCAATAGTTATACATCTCCAGTTAGAATATTTTTCCGTTGACGTTGCGGGCATCCTTTTGTTGAGATGGTGAGTCTGGTTGAATTGTGCACCGTTGCCATTTTTTAATCACTAGTCGTGATTTATTGAGAATGTCTTTGACTCTCTATGAAATGGATGCATAATCAACCAGTATCGTTAGGCTGTTCTGCCATTTGGTGTTCAATTTCCGGGTCATCACTTCGGCAATAGGCTTTTGGTGAAGGAAGGGAGGAAGGCCCATGGTGACCTTGAGTAGTGCTAGGATGTTGTGTTATTTGAATTGGTCACCTTCGGGTTCATAGTGCCTGCTTTACATGCCTTAGACGAATGAGGCAAAAGGAATCCCTATTCGAGCCCGTCAGTAAGGGCTTTTTTTTTAATTCCTGTCTTTTGTTGTTTAAATGCAGAAGCAGGCACGACTGCAGAACCAACGTTGGCAATATGTGGCATTTTGGAGAGAAGAGTGGAAGCACAGGAACTATCCTGCTCAAAATAGCCTTTTGCTACGTTAATGAACACTCATTATAATACCGTGAAAGAGGTGATTACTTTTTTTCCAATTTTCAATAAAATTTTATAGAACTCATTCATTTTTCAGTTCCTACTATTAGTTCACTCTCTTCCTATATATATATAAATATATATCTTGTTCAAATTTTCAATCGTTAGTAATATATTTTCTGTTAAACAATTTAAGCTCAAATATATTTTTTTTACATTGGAAGTGGATGAAACTTGATGATATATAGATTTTTCACATATTAATTCATTAATTAAATTAAAAATTAAATAAATTGTAACAAACAAACAAAAAATAAACCTAAAGCATATATAGACAGGAAAATAGTTCGTTGTGTCCCTGTAGCGCAATGGACAGCGTTTTGGAACTTCTAATCCAAAGGTCGGTTCGAATCCCACCTGGGATGGCCTATTTTCTGAGAATGTGATTTCTTTCTCGCTATGCTATTTTATTAGAATACTTAAATTGAGTTAATGAATGAATAGTTTCAAACAAATAAAAAATAGTCCAACACCTTACATAAAAAGAAAAAAAGGTAAAAATTGCAAGGAAAATAACTTTCTATCTTCTCATTTAATATTGTGATTCTGTCATGTTTATATACATATTTATATTAATTGTAACTATGTAAATATAACTAATAAGTATTGTACCTAATAACTAAAACAAAATTTTTCTTCTAAGTAGGAATTGACTTAAATATTTTTTCTTTATTACTTGTTTATATAATAAACATATTAAAGACAAAGGTTTTTTAAATTTCGTCGATTATCATTAGAATTTTTGGACAGATTTTAACAAAATTTGGTATTTGGTGCAGCTGATATAATGCATAAAATAATTATTCAACAGTTCAATCATACACAAGTGATTATGGCTAATACTCGTCGAAGTCCAAATTTATAAAACAACAATTTCAGAATATAATAACAGAAAATTATTTAAAATAGGGTATAGTTCCCTCTTTCATACTTTCACTTTCGTTGTTAAAAAATGAAGAAAATATTAAGGTGAAAGGGCTTATACCTTATCAATGGAGGGTTGCCCCGTCTTGAATAAAACAAAGTCCAAAATAAATAAATAAATATTGTGATTTTCTATAGATTTTTAATTGCTACAGCACCCATAATAATACATTGCATTTTACACAATTAATACGGCACAAACACCAGACAAATAACATTTCTATCAGTCACATCTATATCAACTTGTACAAGCTATCTCGTAGTCTCCAGGCGTTTCGTCTACGTGTCCATTTTTATATTGAATTTAATCAGTTCCCTTCAAACACTCGTGCTGCGGTCGCCTTTTTGCTTGGGAGTGGCTGGGTTGGGGGTTTCAGACTCATATAAACAAGCCTCACATCGTGGTTTTATAGCGGAAATGTATGAATTCCTGTCGCAATTAATTCTATTCGTTCAGCAATTCAGTTTTCAAGCCTTGGATGATTCTCGGAGGGGAGTTGCGAGTTGCAATTGCTCTCCCCAGAGTGCCCCAGACATGCTCTATGGCAGTGGTCTTCAAACTTTTTCAATTCGTGCAAACCCTTAGATTTATAAAGTGTTTTGGGGGAATCCCATTCCCTACACACACATTTCTTAGAAGAATATATCTAAAAATAATATTTATGTAATGTTAATGTAATTTATATGCTGTTAATATAATTTACTCATTAATAATATCAATTTGTGCTCCAGGTGTCCCCTACATATGCATTTTAATTAGTTTCTGGGATATGTGCTTGTATCTTTTTACCCTCAAACTGAAGAAATCTGTGGATATCCTGGTTAAACTTGTAATCAAAATTCAAGACATTTTTGAAATCTGCATTTAATTGCATATTCTGCAGATAGTTCAATCACTCGTTCTTGATCTGTCACTTATAAATCCTGATTTTCATTAAAATAATGAAATTGATTTTTTCAATCCACTCCATAGAAAAAGAGAATCCATTTTCTATTCATATTTATAATTTTTTTTTTTGAATTTTTATAATGACTCTTGGAACCCTTGCGTATGCCTTGTGGAACCTCAGAGTTCCTAGGAACACAGTTTGAAGACCACTGCTCTATAGTGATGAGGTCTGAAAATCTGACTAGCTAATCCATCTGGCAAATATCTTAACTTTCAAGAAATTTGTCGAACAAGTGAGCGATATCTGCTTAACGCTGTCATCCAACAGGGCCGACAGCCGACGTTAAAAGACGAACACAGGGCTCCAAGATCTCATCCCTAAACCTCACAGCAGTCACAGTGTCTCTTTCAAATACATGGTGGTATGTGGCCATCCAACGGGATGTGTGCCCAGACCATCAAGCCCCTGCTATCATAATGGTCGAGTATAGGTTCCTGGTTCGCTCCATTTTTCCCACCGTACTTTTGTATACAGAGAACTAGGAGCCCGCTACCAATCCTTCAATGTTGAAAAAATCGACCATTTTGATAACGGATGCATTAGTAGGACTGCTGAGATATGTGGATGAGGTCTTCGAGCCTTATGTTCGCCTTTTCTTGAGTGCAATTGGCTCTGATTTTATTTTAATGGATGCCATCGCTAGACTCATAAAACTCATCTGGTCAATGAATTTCTGGAAAGTGAGGATATTTTCCGAATGGATTAGCCAGTTAGATCTCCAGATTTCATTCGTGTACAGCATACTTGATACGCTGTGGGGGGAGGGCAATTGCATGTCGTAACTCCCTTCTGAGACCCACCCAAGATTTGAAAACAGTGTTGCTGACTGACTGAGATTAATTGCCACTGGAACTTATAAATTCCCTTATTTACGGTATAAAGTCATAGTATGAGGCCTTTTATCTGAAAAAAGGAACCCACACCCTCTATTTTAACCAATTTTATTTTTGGCCCGTTATACGGCACAGTGGCAATACCTTCAGTTTCATTCAATTAATTTACCCACAATCATGCGTGCGTATTTCCACTGTTGAATAATCGTTTTTTTGCATTATATCAGCCCTATATAAATACCAAATTTCATTAAAAGTTGTCCAGTAAATCTAGAGATAATAGACAAGATATAAAATTTCTCTTAATTTTTAACATTTAGTGTACATTGTGTAGTAGTTTTAGTGTACATTGACGATAATGAGAATATTTAACTGAATTGAAGAATTCGTTTATTTTCTTCGATACTAAACGAGGCATCCTGAGTCCTTATTTGGAAATTGTGAGTTTGTTCAATTATAAATATATTTAATATTTTTGAATTAACACCATATATTTGAAAATCAAAGTTAATTTATCATAATTAATATCACGCTATATCAAATTATTTTTCACTGTTTATTTTTCACATCGTATTACTCTAGAACAAGGGTACTCAACCTTTTTTCTGCTGGGTCACATATGTATGTTAGCATTTTCACGTGGGCCGCAACATGGGGTTAATGGGTAAGAAATGTTTTGAGACTAAGATAACAAATAAATTTTAAAATGTGGAAATGGATCAAAATATTAAAACTCCTATTTTGCTTTCTTTTAATTGTATTTTTTATTTTTGTCGAAATGTTTCTATATTAATAGGATTTAAGAATCACTCTTTCACAATTTCTGCATCAGTAAACGGTTTCATATGATTAACAGTAACATAACAAATTTCATAAGGTGCCTTTGTTACCACTGTGACATTACCACTGGCAAAACACTTCTTTGCTGTTGTAATGCTTATTCAACAAGAAGGCCTATTTATCACCTCTTGAAAGAGATCTTCGATGAAAAGTGTCATTGAACACACACAGCTCCTGTTTGTTAATATATTTTTTTAAATACAGTGCTTTTGTGACAAATCAAACAATTACTGATTCATGCTTGTTTTTCACAACAAAATAGTCAACTTCCCAATCGTCTTGAAACAACCTACTTTCTTCGAATATTTTTCATTTGCAAGATATAAAAGATGTACGTTGCTAAATGGTCACCACCCCACTGTTGTCTATTATCACTAATAAGAAAACAAATATCAATTCGCACCCATACGACATTGACAGCAAAAATCAAAATTGATATTTTATATTTCTTAATAAAGAATTTACCACCAAATTTTTATAAATAAATGAATTTTTCAGAGAAATAGACCGTGACCGAACCACTTAAAAAGGCCCAGTGGGCCGCTGGTTGAGTATCGCTGTTCTAGATAATGCAACAGAAATATGATGCTCCTTTTATAAATTAGATTTGCCAAGAGATCAATAAAATAAGGCTATCTCAAAATTTTTGTGTATATTGCGAGCCATTCATGTGCTTTGAACATTGTAAGATGATTTATGAAAACTGCAACAAATAATCTCAAAATGTCAATAGTTAGTGGTGGCACAGGTAACTAATCATTACATCTATGATGTTTTTTCCCCTTTAAATTTAATTTTATGATTACATCTTAAATGTTATTACGGTACGTGTAACATACGTATGCCCCTAACTGAGTCAAGCTTGATTCAAAAGTAATTTATTAAGGTATCCGAGACTACCCTAAAATCAAGATTTTTTCAAAAATTGAGAAATTTTTTTAATGATTTTACTTTATAGTACATCTTATTAGCTCAATAAATGTAGCAAGTTATTTTATTTTCCATTCACTAGAACAAAAACTACCAATGTTTTAGTAAAAGCAGATGCCATAACTTTGCACAAGATGTCACACATTAAAATATGTTTTACTCGAAATGTGTTTCTTTTTCGAGAAGCTCTAACGGGGACAGCGATTGCTCAAACAGTTTTGAAAATAATTTGCTGAATTTTTTTTGTGTATGCTCTATATAACAGTAGAAGTGTTTTGACCTTCAGATTTATCAATCACTGTTTTACTTCAAAATTTTCGGTCCATTATGTGAATATAATCACTGTTTTTTTGTTTTTTGTTTTTTTAGCAATTTTATATGATCGCAAAGATAAAGTGCTCTAATTTTTGTAAAAATAAAAATATCTCTTATCCTGAAGGTCATTTCAAACATGAACAAAAAAGTAATACATCAAAATTGAAAAATCGAGAATTTGCTCATAAAATGTTTGTACAAAGCGGGCTTCACTTATGTAATTTTTTGTACATTTTTCCCAGTTTTATTCCATTTTGATAATATTTATATATATATATATTCTGTTTTGAATGCTAGAATTTTTTCCTTAAAATATTCTAAATAAATCTAAAAATCACAAAAAAATCCCCATATCTCCATTTTTTTCAAAAAAATTTTGTCGCAAGTTGTCGGATAACATAAAAATACTTTCAGCATTAAGTGTATTTTTTTATACATGTAACTAATTTTGTTAATTGAAGGTTACCAAAAACGGACTCAGTTTTTCTTTGTGTGTTTATTTAATTCTTCAATGAACGAAGTCATGCATTAAAATAGTTTTTGGAGCTACATTTCAGTTTTTCCCTTATTCTC